TTTCTAAGAAAACTTTTGTTAAATATGATGATGTAATTTCGGCAGTCACCGAGTTCTTCGACTCCCAGACTCCAGCATTCTGGGAGAAGGGGATCGGTGATTTGCCTATAAGTGGAGCAATGTTATTGCTAATGACGGTGATTATATTGTTGACTAATTGTTATTTTATATAGAGGAAAAGTATAGTTGAAAGAAATTTCAAACTGGAGAATTCTTTTTTGCCAACCTAATACATACTTTCCGTAACCAAATGTCAGCTTCGTCTTCGGTTGTAAATCCAGCCAGCGTTTTCCCCAGACAGGTGAACACACTGACGATTCGGCCTGGCATCACGCGGCAACCTGACTCGCGATCCGGGATACTCCGACTTTTTTTCTGCTTTCCTAGACGAAAATAGGTTCCGTGTCGTTGGGCTACTGAATAGCCTCGCATGAGAACCAGTGTTGATTATTGTATTAGTGTGTCCGGAAAGTTTTGAGAAATTCCAACCAACTCATGTAACACTTATCAACAACAAAAAGACGGGATTACCTTGCGTGGGAGCTAGAACTAAGCGAGTACTGAGAATGAGGGGGCGTACGCAACATCTAAGCTGAACTTCCATGGAAGAGACCGATTGATCTCCTAGTATAGATAATTTTGAAGCGCATTTTATCCAGCATCGGAGGACGGTTCCTCATTCCCGATTTGACCGATAGAGGAGCCAGAACGGTGAAGATGAAGTAAAAGGCGTTGGGAGTCGTGCGCGCTCGTACATTTTTCAGGTAATGTCAAATCATACCAACAATGGAGAATAATAACAACCAGCATTAGTATTGATCTACAAACATTTCTCTTTCTCATAGCACTTGATATATGACTTCTGTTGGGGCATTCGCTTGCTACACTTCTTCAAACTAAAAGTGTGAAATTTTCTCAAAACTTTCCGGACAACCTAATAGTTCAAACGTGAAGGCGTCTATGCTTTCTGTGAGGTATTTTCATATTGGGACAGTAATAATCACTGCCTCATCTATTAAAGCCTCCGCTGATACGAAGGAAATCGATCTCTATGAGCGTGAACGAGAAATTCGCTTGGAAAGGGTAATCTGCAACATGACGCCAGGACTAGCGGACAGGTCAAGAATTTACCGCTGAGAGGGAGTCTGCTCCAAGATAAATGAATATATACCCATTTTCACTTTAATTCACATGCTTTTAAGGAATTCACATCACTTTTATACCAAATTCACCACTCTTTCTAGAAGACAGTTCATGACCCACCAGATCACAGCCCGCACACTGCTGCGACCGGTCAAGCCTGCTTGTCAGGACGGACATATGACTTTGCAACCCACGCGACTTTTTCGCCACCGAGTCTTTAAAGGTTTGTTGCGAACTTCGAAATTTCAATCGCTTTCCAACTTGTTTAAATTTCACAATCGCCTCTTGCACATCAAAGGTACTACGTAATGCCGGCATTCATGCTTGGCCAATTAGCACTCCGCGCCTTGCATCGCCCACTTGTTTTTTGCGCAATTTTGATATGTTCTTCAAAATTTTTGCATATTGGATTGCTCCACGGAAGTCCCGTCGCACTGGATGAGAGGCTGCCGTATACTAGAAGAAAGCCGCCCCGTTTTCAAAAAAATGGTGGCAATGGAGTAATGAGAGCCCTTGCTTGCATGCTCGGGCCTCGTCCTACTCGAACAAACTTTGCACTGATCAATTTGTTCCGATTATCGGACAGACGCCTAACATGAGCGAGCAAGGTATATAACGCTGATCCGCACCACTTTTGCAAAGGTGTCGGGGTTTTTTTTTTCTTTCTCCATAATAGGCGGAGGCCTCTTATCGGTAGGCGGGACTTTCGTGGAGCAATTCCAAAAATGAAAAATTTTGAAAATTTTCGGCAACAAAGCACGATGGCGTGCCAAGGGGCGGAGCCTGAATTGCCGGAGCATGAATGCGCGGTTACGAGTATCTTCGCTGTGCAAAGAGTGGATGTGAATCAAAAAGTTGAAAAAGTTATGAAATTTCGAAGTTCGCAACAAACCCGTTAAAGACTGGGACGTGACTAGGCGTGACCTCGTTTGTTTTTTTTTTTTTTTTTTTTTTTTTTTTTTGTTTTTCTTTTTTTTTTATGATTGAGGTCAGTGGTGCTTGGCGTGATCTGGTGGGTGAACTGCCCGGCCTAAAATGAGCTGTGAATATGGATTGAAAAGTGGTGAATTTGCTTTGAAAAGTGGTGAATTTGCTTCGAAAAAGTGGGTAAATTTGCTTTGAAACGTAGGTAAACTTTGCTTTTGAGTGGTTATTTGCTATTGAAAAGAGGTTAATGATAAAAGACACATGGTACCTCAAATACATTCTGAGTGGTGTATGAGACGATCAGGCACCGCTGCTGTCGTATGTTGTGACTCCCCGCCCCAAAATGGCACGGGGTAGAAGTACGGGGCGTGAGAAAGTCGAATTGACTTGATACCCGCCTCGCAGCGTTAACTGCTAACAGCCATGCCGCGGCGCGGTCGCGTGCAGCCTCCTTGGCTTTTTGCTAAGTCCTGTAATTGCGCTTTGGAATACAAGTACAACGCAATTTCTTTATGCGGATAACATTTTAGGTGCTGCAAAATAAGAACTGAAGATGATGAGGGCTAGAACTCAAGAGCAACTGTGGTGCTTCTGCAATATCCCTCAGAGGCCGCGCATTCCCACAGAACATGACAATAAAACATGACAATACAAGCAAAACGCAATTTCCTAGCATTTAAGGTTTGCTATGTTTCAAAGTCTGATAGAAGGTGATGAAGGTGACAAAAGGCTAGAAATGAACAACAACAATGTAGTTGTAAATAGAACAAAATTGAAACAACTAAGGAAAAGCAATAAAATAAAATGGATCGACTTCTTGGCGATTCGCGCATCGTATCAGGCTCTAATTTCATATGAATTACTTAACTACGATGGGACGTCAGGCGTTTTTTATTTTGATGTTTTGTGGGAATGCGCCTGCGAAGGCTGTTGCAGAAGCAGCACAGTTGCTCTTGAGTTCTAGCCCGTCATCATCTTCAGTTCTTATTTTGCAGAACCTAAAATGTTATCCGCATAAAGAAATTGCGTTGTACTTGTATCCAAAGCGCATTAATTGACTTGTGCAAATAAAGCCGAATAAGCAGCTGCACGCGACTCGCGCCGCGCGACGCATAGTTAATAAAAACGTGAGTTTGCGAAACGGGCGGCGTAGCAAGGAATTACGACTTTCCCACGGTCCCGTACTCTGACCCCGTGCAGTTTTGGGCGGGGGACCACGACACATCGACAGCTGGGGGGCTGATAGTCTCATACACCCTCAATGTGTTGAGCGTACCATGTGTCTTTAAAGCGAAAATGGTACTACGTGATTATAGACCCCCCTGTGGAGAAATTAGTCAACCGACTGGCTCGAAGAATGCAAAGCTCGGTACATGACCTTATTGCCTATCTGGTCATACAGAGTCATAGTTCCTGAGGTTGAATTCTCTCGGACCACAGCCGCGGTCTGCTTGACACAAGTCTCGAAAGCTGCTTCACTCACTTCGGTCTTCCAACAGGATAGACAGCGGAACACTAGAATGCTGGCGGAGCAAAAACGACTGAGCTCTATGAAACTCTCGGCAGCGGCGGCGATTTGACCCTCGCTGACTCACGTCTATGGATTCTATAGACTTTAACCATAAAACCGGCAAAGCTTGAGAATTTCGCATGCTAACTTAGTTAAACTCCTGTTCGTTATTGGTCATCCCGAATCTCAAACTGAAACTGATTTTGGTTTTTCAAACTGATTCTTTCGCTAATTAAGCATCCAGAATTTGGTTGTTTGTGGAGACTTTGAATAACATTCCGAGAATGCACACACACTTCTCATTTATACATTTGATTGAACTTGTTTCCTTTCTTCTTTTCTGCCCCTGCCCTTTTCAGCGAGCTGAAGAAGTGGTTGTTTTTATTTCCAGCACGATCGCCATGATATCTATAAATGTCGGCGTGTTCGGTTTACTTTCTCTATGGAATGTTAATCTGGATCCCATATCGATGTGCACAACATTGATGAGTATAGGCTTTTCCGTCGACTTCACTGGTATAATCTTTTTAATACTACATGAGCCGCTCATGGAGAGTCGTTTTGAAAATGTTTGCCGCTTATAGCCACAAAATGCTGCCTACTTCAAGTCCACAAATAAATCAGGCAAAGTTTGTTCCGAGTGACGGACGAGACCCTAGCATGCAAGCCAAGACTCTATACTGCCGATTTGCACCATTTTTGAAAAGTGGGCGGGGCTTCTTCAAAGTGGGCGGAGCCTCTCACAGTGGGCGGGGCTTCACGTAGCCCAAAAATGCAAAAATTTTGAAAAAATATCAAAATTCCGCAAAAAGCAAGTGGGCGTGGCCAAGGGGGCGGAGCCTAAATTGCCAGTGCATAAATGCGCGGGTACGAGTATCTTCGTTGTGCAAAGAGTGGATGTGAAATTAAAAAGTTGAAAAAGTTATGAAATTTCGAAGTTCGCAACAAACCCTTTGAAGAATGGGCGGAGTCGGCCATGTGTTGAAAATCTGTCCGCGCTGACAAGTAGGCGTGACCGTCGGGGCAGGGTTCGCAGTGGTGTCTGGCGTGATCTGGTTGGTGAACGGTCTAAAAAGAGTGGTGAATTTGATTTGAAAAGTGGTGAATTTGGTTTGAAAAGTGGTGAATTTGGTTTGAAAAGTGGTGAATTTGGTTTGAAAAGTGGTGAATTTAAGTGAAAATGGTATACGGCATTTCTCTGTTACTGCAAGCTACTCTAATTTGCCGCGAATCTTACGTTTTCAGCTCACATAAGCTACCACTTCTATCGAAATCCAACTTCATGGACAACGGATGAACGATTAGCGGATGCGTTGAGGGTGAGACAATTCCTTGCTTCCCAGTGTCTTTTTCAGTGTCCGAACCTTGATTGAAGAGCAGTGGATAAGGATTGAGACAAGTGGTGGCACTTGAAGAGCAAGCGTACTTCGCTACACACAGTGACAAAGTTAGAACCAAGTTTTGCGATGTAGAGGTGATACTTTGACAAGGCCTGTTCTTCCGTATGAGGGATAAAAGGATGAAGCCCACAATACATGATTTATCGAGGAGCGCATCTCGTGTTGTTTATGCCAGTACAGATTCCGTACGTGGTTTTTGCATTGGCCGAATACTTATGGCGATGACTTACGTGATAACAATGCACAAAATTAACTGGTGTATCCTCCCGAGAAGCCACGAATAGCACCAACTTGCCGTCTGGTGCGTCCGTCGTTTCTGGGCTTGGGGTGGAAGCTTTCCAGGATTTGCTCCTTGAACCGTAAATTTTCCGTCCGTACGAAAAAAAGGATCATTTAAGAAAAATTTATTCTTTGAATCTTCAGTGTAAGATCTCCGGTCTGTAGCGTGTGCTCATACACCACGCGAGACGGCGACTTGTAATCGTGCCTCTCCGCTGTATTACTTCTCCAAGAATATAGGAGGCCGTGATTGCCCCTCAGCTGTAATATATTCCCAAGATATCAGGCGCCACATTTACCTTTGGTGTAATACTGATAATGTTATAGTGAGTAAGCCTCACATTATGCGCCGAGAAGAAGGCAGCAATGTCTGAGAGCTTCCTGGTTGGAAGCTTTTGAGGTCCGAAAGCTTTAGCGAGGGGAACCTAATAGGGTACACTGCCTGAAAGAAACAGTTCGAAAAATTCATAGATTGGACTTTAGATCGATCGGATGGCCCATGATACAAGCAGCAGGTTATGTTCAAAAACCCACATTTTTCTGTATTCTGCTCGTCTTGCTTGTTTGACTTCCTTAGCCATGGTTCCATAGTGTTTACGAAGACTGTATACCTCGTCATTGGCCTCAGTGCTTCTTGCTATGGGATTGTTTTCCCCGCTGTCTAAGCGTTATTAGCTAACGGTCAACGATCTTAAGTAAATCCTCTGCTATGGTCAGACCATTTTCCCAAAAAAAATAAAAACATTTTCAGATGCGGACTACCGATGGAGCTCTCTAAAGGGGAAGGGAAGTTCATTAACGTGATCGAGGAAAGGGCAGTCACTGGTAGAAGATCAGCATAGACGTCGGCAGCTGACAAACGCGGAGCGAGAGAGGTGACGGTGGCTTTGCTTTTGCTATAAAGTAACCAGGCGCGTCAGTGGGGGCGCCTCGGGGCGGACGAGGGGGTGCAAAAAAAAGTCACTTTGACTGTCAAGTCACATATCAGCAAAGTTTTCCTGCCCAGACAGTAGGACGTGATACGAAGTCACAGGCGAAGATACCCAAACCTTAACTCGATGACAGCAGGAGCTGCGCTGGCTCTCCAGCCCATCACTTCATGTACACCAAAATATGAAGTCATCTCCAGTCGGAGCCTGAAAGGAGAAGACCTTTGGAACTCATGTCACCTCCAAACAGCTGCGAAATTTCTAGCATAGTATTCACCCCATGATAGCTACCTTGGGAGACCTAGTACCTCTCCGATGGTGGGATGACCTCCAACTCGAGCAAGCTCCCGACAACGTCGCCAACGGTTAAGGCAATCATCTTCAAACCGCAGTCGGCACAAGGCACGGTTGATGTATTTCTACGAAACCTACCGATTCGAATGAGAAGACCAAAATAATTTTTTCGTGACAACCCTTCCACCACCACTCCCCTGCGCCGCCACACGAGTAACACTGGACTGAAGGAGAGCGCTGGCTGTTACATCGAGAAGCTCGAGAAGAATATTCTCCTCACATGTCGTCGCCCGTACCTTCTTGGAAACTTTGTGCTGCTACAGCATTGGGTGCCACCACATGGAATCGAAGGGCGTTGGAGAAACTCATCAACTGCCTACTTGGAATGGAAGGGGGCTGAGTACCTAAAGAAGATGGAATATCCAAGTAGGTCACCTGACCTGAATCCCCTCAATTACCCGGTTCGGGCGGAGTTCAATAGGGTGGTCTACGGTGGCGGAGAAATCGACTATCTCGCTGATCTCAGGCACCACATCGCGGTCGCGTGCCAGAATCTCTCGATGGCGCTCGTCCAGAAGGCTGTGGCGGAGTGTCATGATAGTATTTAATATGCTCTTTAATATGGTGGTAAAAATGTCCGATCAGAATTTAATAAAGTGTAACTTATAGCGCCTATGTCAATGAAGAAAAGTGACTTTTTTGCCCCCCCCCCCTGTATATTCCTCCACTTTCCGATTGTGGCGGTGGTGAAAAAAGTATTTTTTCAGCTTTGAACAATGAGCCACCTCCGACATCTCTCCAACATAGGCGAGAACAAGGCTGAACACTTGATATAGACTATAAAACAAAACAGGTCATCGAATCTCAATTTGTTTTTCTCATAAGTTTTGCCTCACTGCGTCTCATTACGGTGCTCAACTAGTGTTTACATATAGGTTTGTTAGCATATAGTTCATTCGCAGTTTCCTTATTTCTTCAAGGTAACGACTTCCGTGTGTCTTTCCTGTGTGATTTGTGATGCTGTCAATGTTGCAAATGCAACGATTTGCTAGTGCTGATTTGCTTTATTTGTTTTTCATATGTTTCGTCACTAAGAGGATAATACAGACTAATAAAAGTTTGATGATGTTGCTGTTCCAATGACAATTTCTTATTTGCGAATCTGTTTGAAATAATATATAACAGAAAAAGTATACAAAATAACTTTGAAGTGATGGTAAAAGTGGTATAAAGTGAAATAATAGTCTTAATTATAATATAATCATAAAAATAATAGAACACTGTGCGTCAGCTTTGAGGGAGAAGTGTTTTCAAATGATTGCCATGGAATAATCCTTACGCTCTTAGAAGTTCCATTTGAAGACAACATACTCCTCTGCTCACATCTACTGTGCGACCTTCTTTCCATCCTATCACCAAATTCTGCCGGAGTTGGATTTACCGTTAATCCGCAAGTTCGCAACCAGTCTGCTGTTGCGAACTGCTTTGACGCCGGCGGTAGACAGGTGCCAAGCGCACAAGATATTCGTATGCACGCAGTGAGACCACTCTAGTTGATTTCAGTCAGTCCGCCCGAAAAAATATTGCAAGAAATGGAAGCGATGAGAACCATCAAGTCGAGTTCTTCCAATCAACCTTCTAAAATAAAAGAGAGAAGCACTCGAACATAGGAAAACATAAACAGAACGAAAGAATCGAAGTAAAAACTTACCAATGTGCAGTACTGCACGTTGGTATCCGATATCTTGCACACCTAATTTGTGAAAAAAACATGAGCTTAACTTGTCTTACGAACTGGGTACAGTCTACAACAGAAGGCTGGGTACAATCCGCATACAAAACAAAACGAACACTGCCAATCTCTCAGAAAATTGCACAGCTTTCAATAACAAACAATACCAGAAAGATATGCACAACATTTCAAATAATTTGAGTAATACTGCCATAATACAACGAATACAAAGAAAAAGAGAACAGAGACCTCAGTTTCAGAGCAAAAACGTTAAACTTCTGAAAGGAAGAAATCTCCAGCAAAACATAACAAAGCAGGAGTAGAGAACTTCGTGGTCGTGTAGTGGACAGCAGGAACGAGGAATGGGGCGAGGGCGCGGTCCAAAAGAAGTTGGCAAGGAAAACAAACAAAGAAACATGAAATCACAGGTTCCGCAGTGTATTACGGACAGGAAAGGAGAAAAACAACACCAAAGTAGAAATAAAACACTTGCATGGAGCAGCAGGAAAGGAATGGGCAAGAGCGCGACCTTAAAAAAGTTCGTAAGGAAAACAAACAATAAAAACATGAAATCATGAAATACGCATTCAACTACCGATATAAAAGTAGAAAAACACTAGAACAACGCAAAAACATCATCAAAGAAATAAACAACTCTCCATGATGCAGCTTGTTAGGGGAAAAAACTGAATTTTAGAAGCGCGTGATCTAACAAAAATCTATAAAGGAATCAATAAAAACACATAACTAGTTCACTAATTCACATTCATTATTCAAACTAGAAAGAAAAAAAACACCGAAACAAATAAAAGAGACCATTAAAGAATAAAAGAGAAAAGAAAAAAGGTATTAAAAAACTTATTAATGTTCAGAGACGCAGGGAACGTGTGGGGGTCCTGATGTCGGCACGACCCAGAAGTATAAACATGAAACAAACGACTAAAAAGAAAAATAACTGAGCGAAAAGAGAAACGAAAAAATTTGGAATTTGTGCGTCCAGTGTACAGTCCTCATCACTGCGGACCGGTGGGGCGTGT